CTATGCTTAAGCCCCCTAGAGAGACCTTGAAAAAACTGGATGGCCATCATTTATGATAACGAAAACAAGGCTGAAGAAATTCATTGAGAAATTTTCATCACCAATGATGCCAGGACCATTTGTCCCACAAATATAGGAGGAAAGACCACGTAATAAGATCACGAAGTATGATCTTAAGTCTTTTTACTATCAAATTTACAAAATATTAATTGACCACCCCTCCTATGGAAAGTATATAATCAGATTTAAGGACATTATGGTAAAATACACCCTACATAATTAATGTAATTAATGGTCTATTTCCTTTTCAATTCTAGAAAACTTACATATATAAAATACACATTCAACTATTCTTGACATGGTATCAGAGTTGTAGGTTAAGAAATCTTAAGATTCTTTTATAAACTTTATTAGGCCTTTATTGCAAAAATAAGAAATCCTAAAAGAGGTCAATCTTCATTGCTGGCCATTACAACCTAGCTGACGACAACAATAGACTGGCGATCTCCACCACAAACCAGCCATCATATCTGGACCTACTTAACAGAACCTAATGGCCAAAAGCAGCCGAAGGAACCGTTCAACCGCCAACTACCAGAACCTAATGCCTACACCTGTACAGCACTTGTCCAGCCAGCCTGCCACAACCATGAGCCCAGCCGCCTCAGCCACGCACACAACTAGCCAAAGCCCCTCTTGTTGTTCGCGTCTCTGCCCAGGTCGCTAAGACCCGCGCCATCATCTTCAACTCAGCTGCTCTAGGCGATGATTCTGTCCAGGGCACACAGCACCACCAATTGGTAACATCCTTCTTGTGACCTTTTATTTCACATTATTTGTCCTACAACTTTTAAAATATATCAGAGGTTACATTCTAAAGTACAATTTGTGTCATTTGATAATATACTCATTGCAATTTATAAAGGAATTAGGAAATGCATTAAACATCCCCTTCATTTTATATCATAATTAGTATCATTTGGTAAATGTTATAGTGTCATAAAAATTTTCTTATGAGTTGAATGCGGAATCTAACCCTACACTGTGCCTAAGGCATTATCCTGTGAGAAATGGAAAAATTATATGAATGTTG